GAGAACTCAGCGGCTGCTTCCGCAAGCCGGATTCCAGTTGTGTATAAGTATAATCATATAGCCAGGTCCGTGGAAGACAGTGTCACGTCCAAAGCGCAGGCTCAAATCATTTGTTCATAGGATCGAACATTTGGAGAAACTGCTCAATGACAAGCCGCCATCTAAGCCACCGATCTCCGAGACCGCCAAGGTCCCTAACCAGGAACCTTGTCGCATCGTAATGAACTACCCGGAGTCAGATAAACCAACAGCAGCAGAGAGAATTTCGGACGATCCATTATTTTCAAAAAGAATGGTCTCCATCCTTTTCGATGAGGGGTAACCGGGACTAATATCGTCTCTGCTTTTCGTCTTGGCAGAAAACTTGAAGGTTCCTCCAAGGTGCGCCTACTTAGGCTTGTGTGCCAAAGTGAAGATGAACGTCGTCGAATCCTTCGACAGACTTCGCGCCTCAAGGAGAGCCGTTGCATCTGTTACGAGATCTCTCCCCGGAGGACCGCGTTACTGTGAAGATTGCTGTCGATGAATTGCGAACTCACCATGCAAACGGTGAAACGGTGGTGCGTATTAAGGATTATCGCGCTGTTCAGAAACTGCAGAGAACGTGCTGGAAGCCAGTACTTGTCCTTCCCGGACATTAATGTCAACAACTGGATTGCACGTACCCTCTGCGAACCTACGCATTCTAGGTACCAAAATAAATGAAATTGTGCACCTTGAGTCAGTAATCCTCCCGGACCGTACGGCATTTTCGGAGACATGGTTGTCCCCAGAAATCCCAGCTCTCCAAGCACATGTTCCTGGTTACAGTCTCTCACGAGCTGATCGCATTGGTTTGAGGTCGGGGGCGGCGTCATACCCTACTGGAATGAGAATCTGATGATCCATGTAGTGGTTGTTGTTGTTGTCTTGGGAAGTGCTGGCAGCTCCGAAGTGCGTTGGTGTCGTATTCACGGTGGATGTAGATCGCTCCTTCTCGGTGTCTTCTACAGACATCCTTTGAGTTCTGGTGCTCGTTTACTGGAGTCTCTAAAGACGCACGGCGGAAACAAGCATTGTTTAGCATGGGGAATTTAATGGCCCTGATGTTGATTGGGATCTTTTTCACTGTGATGCTGCACCTGCCTCTTTCGATTCTACGTTTCTGGAAGCTGTACTTGAAAGCAATTTAATTTAACAGGTAGCGGCGCCTCCTCGCATTAACCATGGTCAGACGCAGCACATACTCGATCTTTTGCCTTCGCCTCCCCATTCGGATGTTGCTGAGTTGAGTGTTTTACCACCAGTCGGGAGGAGTGACCTCTGCCTACTTTTATTTTACTGGACCACACGGTTGAGCATTCACAACCACTTTGTCTAACGTCGGAACTTCTGGCGTGCTAAGCCGAACCGCTTGAAGATGGCCGCTAGTGAGCAGGATTGGAGTCTTCCCCAGCAGTTAGACGTCGATGATGCTTGGAGCCTTGTCTATTGGAAAATGTTGTCCCTTATAGATGCCGATTTTTCCATATCCAAACGAAAACCATGTACCAAAGTTCCCCTGTATTGACCGAGAATTACGATCGCGCATGAACCAAAGACACAAACTTTGGAATCGCTATAGGCTTTCGAGATTGGAAACTGATTATAACAATTATAAATTGGTTCGGAAAGTATGTACATTGAAAGAACGTAAGGAAGGGCAGCAATACGAAGGTCGTCTAGCTGAACATTCCAAGACCACACCAAACCTGCTTTTCTCCTACTTGAACAGGAGCACCATAGCCGGAAGTGGAATACCTTGCACCACCACGCTTAACACTGTGCTCCACGACGATGCTGATAAAGCTAGTCTTTCAGCTCGTCATTATTCATCGGTTTATACAACAGAAGTGCCGTTATTTGATTGGTATTTGTCCTTGCTCTCGGTTCTCATTAATGCAGACGTAAATGTTAGTATGGTATACAAAGTTTTGTGCGAGCTGGATCCAAACTCTTCCCCGGGAAGAGATCGATTGCATCCTCCCTTCTTCAAGATTGTGACCGAATATTTTATTGTTCCTAGCCTTCAGGCAATTCGGCGCTCATCTGAGGCCGGGCAGCTTCCGCTTGCCTACAAACTGGGCATAGTCGAGCCCATATACAAAGGACGAAATTGACAAGATCCTACAAATTACAGGCCTATTTATCTAACAGCCGTGGCTTGCATGTTTTTCGAGAGGATTTTGAAGCCAGATCTCCAGCTGCATTTTCGGAACCTCAAGATCCTTTCAGCTCCCTGCATGGGTTTCTTCGTTCGCGTTCATATGTCACCAATCTTCTGGTAGCTAGCGAAAAGTGGGCTAATTTCCATGGATGCTGGTACGCGGCTAGATGTCGTGTTTGTGGAGTTCAGCAAGGCTTTTGACAAGGTTGCACACAAAATTTTGCTTAGCAAACTTCTCAGTATTGGTTTTTCAGGAAAAATTCTTTATTGGCTCACTGATTTCCTGCATGACCGCGCTTTCCGTGTGCAAGTAAATGAGTCCCTTTCCTTCCCTGTAAATTTGATCGGCGGTGTCCCGCAAGGCTCTGTTCTTGGCCCTGAACTTTCAAAGTCTTTAGTAATGACCTGGCGGCTGTACTTCGGGCAGATGGGTTGATTTACGCAGATGATTTAAAGCTATGGATGAAAGTCTCCGGTGTGGATGAAGCAGATACACTCCAAGCAAGGCACGATTCGCTCCATAATTGGTCGATCAGATGTCAATGACCCATAAATCACGATACATGTTCCATTCTTCCGAGCGTTGCATCCGAACCATTTGGAATTTATCATATCAGTGGGTTTTTGCAGCCAAACTCTAAGCGTGAGTGGGACCTTGGCGTCGTCGTGACCCCAGACCTAAAATCGGTTGAAGATATCTTGAAGAAAGCCGCTTCTACCAACAAGTGATTTTTCTCCATACGACGATCCTCCTGCTTGACTCCGGAGATCTTCAGGCCCGTGTTCACTACTCATGGAAGTCCGACACTTGTATCTAGACTGCGCGCGGTTTATCCTCTTTCCAACTTTGAAAGCAACTTGATTAAACAAATTCAGCGCAGAGGATCTAAATCCATGCTGGAGTTACGAAACCTGCCTTACTCACATCGTCTTCGGCGCCTGAGCTTGTTCTCCCTAGCCTATCGTCGAGATCGCGGGGATTCGATTTCCACACGGCGTATCGTTTGAGGTGAACTTGGAGTTAACTGCAGAACGTCTTTCTACTCAGTTCGTTCAGTTCGACTCCGGGTCACCGTTAGAAATTGTTTAAACAAAGGAGACTTCGGGTCCGTTGTGACGTCACTCTGTCTGCCAGAGTAGTGAACGTGTGGAACAATCTGCCTGTCTAGGTCGTTGATGCGCAGTAGGAGGAATGTTTCAAACAACGGTCGGCTTCTTACCTATTGATTAAACGCGGATCTTGTGGCATTTTGTGACGATGCAGCGGTTCCATTGGTACCGACTTGAAATGTCCATCTTGATCCCTGTGACGAACGAGAGTCCTTTGAGCTGACAAGTAATTTTTCTTCTGCGAAAACAAATCCAAAGTGTTACTACGGCTATGTTCAGTCTAAAGCCTCCCTAAGAGAGGACGTTGGGTGTCTAATTATGGAAGATAGCAGCCAGGCTGTGGAAGCCAGAGCTAAAGCTGAAATGCTGCTAAGAGTCTTTCAGAATCTGCATAGGAGCGACAATGGTTGTGCTGCACCATCGCAGCCACACTGTGTCAGCAGTTATATAATGCAGGACATCGTGCTGACTGCGCAATAGGTCTTTACTGTGATGACTAACTTGAATCCCTTCAAATCAGCCGGTCCTGACTATGTAGTTCCGGCAATAGTCAAGCCACTAGCTGACATCCTTCAACATCCTGTTCTGGAGCTGTTCGACTTGTCGCTCCAGGAATGCAAGTTGCCGCGAGACTGGAAGGAAGCAGCCATAGTTGCGATTCACAAGGGTGGCTCCAAATCGGATCCCCTTAACTACAGACCCATCAGTCTAACCAGTGTTCTGCTCAAGTGTTTAGAGAAGCTTATAAGAAACCGGATTTGTGAGCATTTGGCGAAACACAGTCTGCTCAGAGCAGAGCTGCATGGTTTCATTAAAAAGAAGTCGCGCCTCCCTAATCTACTATGCTTCCTCGATGAGATTACTCGATGTCTTGACGACGGGATTCCGGTAGCGGTCTGCTATCTTGACTTTAGCAAGTCTTTCGACTCAGTAAATCACCGTTTCCTACTTGAAAAATTAGCATGGTTCGGAGTACATCCTAGACTTCTGTCTTGGGTGTCAGAATTCTTATGTGGGAGAACGTTTCGAGTTAGAATCGGTGATGTGAGTTCTAGTGTGGGCGTGGCCTACAGTGGAGTACCCCAAGGATCGGTGCTAGGTCCACTTTTGTTTCTTATGTTTATAAACGACTTGGCTCCTCTTATTGAAGACCCCTGTTATATCTTTGCGGATGACTTGAAGCTAGTCAGCAGGGGCAACCGTGCAACACTGGCCAAGGATATCATCAGTGTGGTAAACTGGTCGAAGCAATGGGACTTGCCCTTGAATGCAAGCAAGTGCCAAATTCTGACCACTAGTAGAGACGTACTTGCAGTTCAGACTTCCTTTGGGCCCTTCCCCTTACAATGCACTACCCAGGCACGCGATTTAGGAGTCATCATGACGAGCAGCTTCAAGCCTTCGATGCAATGTCGATACGCCGCCAACAAAGCGCGACGAGAATTGTTTCGCCTCAGGAGGGCTCTGTGTAATACCAAGCCAGAAGTGTTCCTGCCACTATACAAAGCAGTGGTTAGGCCACACTTAGAGTATTGTGTTCAAGCTTGGTCGCCCTATCTCCGTGGTGATGTTCTTTGCCTGGAGAAGATTCAAAGACTAGCAACCAGGATGGTTGAAGGTCAACGGGGGAAGCCGTATGAAGATCGCCTAAAGAGCCTGGGGTTGTTTTCCCTTGAACGGCGTAGACTGAGAGGCGATCTGATAGAAACATTTAAGATCATGAAGGGCCTCAGTGCCATCGTGCCCTCTGATTTATTTGAGCTGGCTGATTCTGAACGCTTGCGTGGACATCGCTTGAAGCTCAAACAGCAGAGGGCTAGACTGAACGTCAGGGCTAAGTTCTTCTCGAATCGTGTAGTGCGCAACTGGAATAAGTTGCCTTCGGAACTAATGGATTGTGAGACTGTGGTTGCCTTCAAAGCAGGCCTAGACAGGTGCTGGCCGCGTATTTTTCCGGAATTAATATAATCCTATCCAATTTATTCGCATTGATATCCGATGTTGATCCTTGTAAAAGCAAAGATTGCTCTCGCTTTTGCTTCATTTCTTTTTGCAGAGGCAAGGAGAGGCGATCAAAAGTCGAAGTGCCGGGGGCTCTGGTTCGCTTACCGGTACAAGAAGCTGGACGCTCGTTAGGCGGAAGCCTGTATCGTCCACGGATTTTGACCTGACCTGCTCTCTAAATTCCAATGCTTTAATGACCTTGACCGATCAATAACTCACTTCCCATTCGGCTGAGCCACTTTGCCTTTAATTCGTGTGGCGTCGTAAATTTGTCCTAATGACAGCCGTAGGTTGATGTTGCTCTATACTTTCAATTGAAATAGAGAAAAGTACCTTACTGCCCAGGCCTGTGCTGGTCTGTACTCTGGATAATTCTTTGGCTTGTTTCCTGGCCCTTGGCGGTTCTGTTAGCAGTTCTGGAGGTGCTTCTCATTCCTTTGTGCGTATGTTTCGACGGGGCAAAAACGGCTTGCGAATTTATTGACCGCGTATATAAGGTAAGTTTATTGTTGTTAGATTTTCTTTTATTTGTTGGCGAGTAATTCTAAGTATCGCTGGTGGAAACGCAAGTCCTTAAACTGCTGCAAAAACTGAACCCTTCCAAAGCAGCTGGACCCCTGGCCCTCCTTGGACGTGCACTAGGGTCTTTCCCTAGAGAGACATTTGTCCGTCTCTACAGCACTTTAGTACGTCCGCTGCTGGAGTACAACATACTTGTCCAGCCGCCGGACCTGAAGAAGGACGAGGGAAATGTTCCGTTCTACGCGTTGGTCCGAATGACCCGCCGACGCGTTATTTGCTTGGCGGCAACGAGGTACCGCGAGTTCAACTCCAATCTGACCTCGGTGTTTTGCTGTCATCTGACTTCAAGTCCAGTGAACACTGGAAGGCAGCTGCTCGTAAAGGCTTCAACATGTTGTGGATGATCCGCAGGTCATTCGGGATCATGACCACCGACATGTTTGTTAGACTATTTTCGGCTTTTGTAAGGCCGCACTTAGAATACTGCGTCCAGGCTTGTCCTCCATGCCTGGTTCGTGATAAGATGGCAGTTGAACGAGTCCTGCGGTCCGGGACGAAAATGGTGTACGACTTAAAGAAGCTGACGTACCCGGAGAGGCTACGTAAGTTGGATATGTTTTCCATGTATTACAGGCGGCTTCGGGGCGACTTGGTCCTTACATATCGTATATTGATGGGTCAGATTGGTCCTGATTTGACTGGACTGTTTCGCCCAACTCGAATGCCAACCCTTCGTGCCCACCCATTAAAGTTGCACAAACCCCGGTCTGACCGGGTTTTGGCAACTTTTAGATTATCGCGTAGGGTTATAGCTTATTGGAACACATTGCCTGCAGACGTCGTGATGGCACCGACGTTGAAAGAGTTCGAGCATCGACTTGACGCTCTCGGTCTGCAGTTTAAGGTCTTCCCCTTCGTGTCTTAAACTTTCTTCGTCTGTTACGGCTAACGCTTCTTTAACTCATTTTAACTTACATTTGTAAATATTGCCTACGATATTCGATTAGCTTGTCTTCTCTGTTTTCTTTTCTTTACTGACACTACTGTTTTCTTTTATTCTTCACGTGGCCGGCACAGCGGGGACTGCTAGTGCAGGGCACGTGGGCATTGTTTGGTTGACCATATGAATCGTGTGTGTTGATTTGGCTCTCCTTTGGCACATCAAGGCACCGGTTTCCCTGTTGGATCAACGACGTTTTCAAAGGTGGAACATTCGCGGGATTTTCCTACTGTTCCGGTCCCAATTGAACTTGAACTTGAACTTGAGGCCATGCTGGAAACTGTACAGCACAGAGCCACTAAGAGAGTGGACGGACTATCCCACTTCTCGTATGAGGAGCGTCTGGCGGCCCTTAACCTCTTCCCGTTGAAATATCGCAGGCTTCGTGGCGACCTTATCTTAGCTTATTCCGTCCTGACTAATAACAGACACCCAAACGCAGGATTGCTGGTCCGCGCCCGTACAGATCATCTTCGAGGGCACTCACTCAAACTGATGACTCGTAGCAGTCGCCTTCTGTGCCGAAGAAACAGTTTCAGTGTGCCTACTGCCTTCGCTTGGAACGCCCTCCCCGAAGCTGTTGTCTCAGCGCCCAATACGGAGGCCTTCAAACAGCGCCTAGACGCTTGGCTCTTACCTCGCTGGTCTTCCACGTTGCTAAGATCTGGCCACTTGCCAAGCTAACACGCGGCGCTTTCATCATTTTGCTTCTATCCAACTTTGCCGAATTTACCTACACCACTCTCTTGTTTCAGGTATCCACGTTCCCACAGTCAACTCGCTGAATTCTTGTGCTGAACACCACTACTGCGTCGAGACCCACAACATCTGTTATCTACCGACGAGATCAGGACCTTGCCGTAAGATCCCGAGGCAGAACCACCGAAAAGCTACACTTACTCGTTCTGCGCAAACCCGTGAAACCTGATTCAATTCACCCGAAGCTTCTGCATGAGTTGGCGGTGGAACTGAGTGGACCGCTGACGATGGTGTTTCAGAAATCACTTGACAGCTGTACATTACCTTCCGAATGGAAGGAGACTGTCATCTGTCCCATCTACAAAATTGGCGACAGGAGTCTGTCAGCCAATTATAGGCCAGTTAGTCTGACTGGCGTCGTGGTCAAACTGCTTGAAAAGCTGGTGAGACATTCGTTGAAATGTCACCTGAATAGATTTAATCTACTCAGTAGTGCACAACATGGATTCCGGAAGGGGTTTTCGTGTTTGACGAATTTGTTGGTTGCTCATGAAGCTTGGGCCGAGGCAGTGGACAATGGCCACATGGTGGATGTGCTTTTCGTAGACTTATCGAAAGCATTTGATAAGGTATCCCACTGGAGGCTATCACAAAAGCTGAGGTCCTACGGCGTATCTTGCCGCGCCCTTCACTGAGTATCTGCGTTCTTGCAGGGAAGAGAGCAGTGTGTACGTGTGGGTCGCAGCTTATCCTTTAAGCAAGTGGTCCTTAGCGGTGTCCCACAGGGCTCGGTCCTTGGACCGATGCTGTTCTCCATCTACGTAAACGGTCTCCCTGGAGAGCTCGGGGTATCATCCCTATTGTTTACAGATGTCCTTAAGCTCTGGAATGTTGTAAATGTTCTTGGGGGTTCTGTGGCCATACGTCATGCACTGGACAGACTCTGGGACTGGTCTACTTTGTGGCTACTACCCATAAATCAGGTTGTGTTCCGTCCTTCGTATAGGAGCAACTTTCCCGCCTTCAAGCTACTTACTCGGTGGGGTCGAACTCCCCCTTGTCTCTAACCAGGTAGACCTAGGTGTCGTTCGTTCCTCGTCTTTGCATTGTGGTGACAACTGGAAGAAGGCCGCTAGTAGGGGTTTCAGAGTGTTGTGGTTCATTGAGTTCATTGAGTTGTAGAGAGCAGGAGGGAAATCCCTTGTCAGCCCCATCGATTCCGTGTCATACTGGGTTTGATGCGTGTCGTTGCGTTACGACGTTTCTCGAGGGTTCGTCGTAATTGCAGTGACAGCCGCAAGATTCCAGCATTCTCAGCGAATGTTTGTCTAGCAGCCGCTTGAAACTTTCCTCGGATGGAGCGTCTGCAATTGCTTCCGGTAAGCTGTTCCAGTCATTCACCACTCTAGTGGAGAGGGTGACGTCCTTGCGAATTTTGTGTCTTCTTTGCTTAAACAGCTTCCATGTGTGCCCTCGGGTGGGACAGTCAGTGTTGCGCCGGAAGAATTGTTGTAACTCATTTCCAAGTTCCCCTCGGAGGATGCGTCTAGTGTAGATGAGGTCACCCCGGCGACGGCGGAGCTCGAGGGAGAACAGATTTAGCTTCTGGAGTCGAATGGGGTACGGGAGATCACGTAGCCCCAGAACAGCTTAGGCTGCACGTCTTTGAACCTTTTCCAGCACAGCGCTTTCAAACTTTGAAAGCGGATGGCTAGCTGGTAGGCCATATTCTAAGACTGGACGGACGTACGAAGTGAACAACGGTCGAAAAATCTCGGGAGTCATTCGAGCGAATGATCTTCTTAAGGCACCTACCAGTCTCCTTCCAGCGGCCACCTTCTTTAACGTGTCCTGCGTCGTTCTAAGGTCGGAAGTCACGATAACCCCAAGATCTCTCTCGTGGGTGGTATTCCTAAGGAGAAACCCACCAATGTGGTATGCACCGTAAGGTTCGGTGCCACCCATTGGGAGAACAGCGCATTTATCTCGGTTTACTGGCAGTTCCCACTTGATGGACCATTCGTGTAGCTGGTCTAGAGCCCCTTGTAATCTGTCCACATCAACTTGTAGGCTGTCCGCCCACAACTGGTTAATACGCCGTTCTTTCGGGGTCTTAACTGCCGACATATTTGTGAAGCTGTTCTCAGCTTTCGTCCGGCCCCATCTGGAATACTGCGTCCAGGCTTGTCCGCCCTACCTTGTTCAGGACAAAATGGAGCTTGAGAGGGTTTTGAGAGTAGGTACCAAATTGGTCGAGGTGTTACGGGGGCAATCGTACCCCGAGCGTCTACTTAGCTTGGGTATGTATTCAATGCACTACCGACGGCTTCGAGGAGACCTAATCCTTACTTACCGCATTTTAACAGGGAAGGTTGGACCGGACCTGAGCTGGCTATTTAGCCCGGCTAGGTTGCCTTGTCTTCGCGGTCATCCCATGAAACTACACAAGCCGCGTTCTGACCGGATCAGGGCGGAAACTCGGTTATCGCGTAGAGTTATCGAGCGCTGGAACTCGCTTCTAGAAAGTGTAGTCAGTGAACCTACGGTTAAGGGTTTCGAGCGTCAGACGCTCTTGGATGGCAACACGAAATCTTTCCCTTCTTCTGACCATATCCATCTTCAAACTTTTAGTTCTTATTCTGTCATTCCCTTCACTCTTTGGTGTTATCCTTCATTTTAATGACTTTCATTCCTTTTTATCTTCCATTTACTTTCTGCTTCTTTCTTACTTCACGTAACCTACACAGCGCGGACTGCTAGTGCAGGGAACGTGGGCAGTAATTGGTTGATCAGGGTGTTTTGGGTGTTTCGTTTTAGATCTATCAAGAACTAGCACCTTATCATTTCCTGGCTCAACGATTTGCTCAAGAAGGAACACTCAGTGGATTTTCCTATCGTTCCAGTCCATCTGAATCCATCATGTGTAATATATTACACCTTAGCTGAAGTTGAGGAACCCTCTTCAACTCTTGTACAAGAATACAAGCTCAACTAAAATGCGTGATGCAAAATAATCTCGAATACAAACGAAACTGGTGACATCCGCCTAAGTTTCCCGGTGTTACTGTCCGGAAACTGACTAGTTTGGGTAACGTAGCAGTTAACGCGCCATACTCTCGACCGCGCTTACTTCGTGTGATCCTGTCCACACCGAGGGGCGGGGAACCACGCGCTGTTGTCCTTTGCTTTCCAACTGAAGGGCACTAATTTTAGCGTTCAGCCAGGCCTGCTTCTATCGGATAGGCTGAAGCTAAATGAGGCCATCAACGACCTAAA